CTGAGGATAGTAGTGCAGGCTAGGAGAGTTAGCCGGTGGTGCAGGCCCAGGGAAGCAGAGCGAGGCGAGGGCGGGGCCAGGACCAGAAGTGGTGCTCCTGGAGCCCAAGAAAGGGACTGGGTTGCTCTGGGTGCGAAGGGTCAGGAAGCAGTATTGGTTCCCCAGGTGTCTGGGGCCCCAAGACTAGGGGTCGCGCAGGGCTCAAACTAGGAGTATAGAACGGCAAGGGGGGGTGATGGAAGGGTGAATGTGGCTTGTGGAGTCCCTGCGCGGAGAGCTGCCTATATCTAATATTTTAAGACACAGTTTTTATGTGCATTGTTCTGCATCTTCAATTTTTTATTTACCTTGAAACTTGAATATATAAACAGAATATAAAGTTGACTTTCTCTAACTTAAAGATCAATTATAAATTTCTAAAACTTGGGCTTTCTCTTACTCATTAAAGCACCCTCTACTTGTATACTCTCTTTTCCTTGTCTGTAGGTAGATTTAGTTCTGTTTAAACTAGGGACTACATAAGCTGTAAAACTCATTAGTAAATTGAATACAGAGTAGCACTTAAGTAAATGTATTGCTATCCCTGATACTAAGACATCTATTTTAAGATTTTTTTTAAAAAAATTTATTGTTTTTATGTGTATGAGTATTGCCTGCATGTGTTTAGGTACACCCACGTCGTGTGATGCCCGTGGAGGTCAGAAGAGGGCGTGGGATCCCCTGGAACTGGAGTGTGGGACACTTGAGGTCTTAGAATTTATGGTTGGGCTTCTCTCTAACTTTGTATAGGAGATAGTTAGGAATGCTTGTTGAATAAATAAATGGTGGTTAAAAATATTTAAAAATCAGGTATTAGAAAATTTAAAAAACTCCTTAGAAACTTAAAAAACAGAAAACCTTCTTCAGAAACTGCACATCCCTTTAATCTCCACACTTGCAGAGGCAGGTAGAACTCTGAGTTCAAAGCCAGCCTGGTCTATATAGCAAGTTCCAGGCAAACTAGGCCTTCAGGAAGACCCTGTCTCAGAAACAGCAACAAAAAACTTGAGTGATTATTGCTAAAATAGAAACTTTTTAAAAATAGGTAGAAATTTTGACATATATATTTTTTAGGTTCGACCGAATAGCCCTTCTCCTACTGCATTAGCTTTTGGGGACCACCCTGTTGTACAACCAAAGCAGTTATCCTATAAAATTACTCAGGTAAATAATACTTTTTAAAAATTATTATCACTTCTAGGAAACCTGACCACCTTTGTACTAACAGCTAAGATATTTATACTTTGTTCTAAATATGATCATACAGTAAAATTAAATGTCAACAAGGCTAACTTACTAAACAAAAATGTTTGTAGGGGGAGGAACTGAAACACCCATTTTACTATCAGCTTGTCCTTGTTGCACTAGCAAATGTTTTAGGTAATAAAACAGTTAATACAGCCATAAAATGTCAGTTCTGTTTACTGAATGTCTTCTTAATGCTGATGTGTTGGTTCTAAGTGGGTAATAAAGCAGTTCATTTGAATGTATATATGTATATTTAAAAATCAAATTATTTGAATATATTAATATTTTATATTATTAATTTCATGAATTTTGAATATAAGTCCTAAGTTCCTTAATTTGAATACAAGTTGTAATAAGTTATACACAGGTTTCTTTTAGCATTTATACTTCAGAAATTACTAAAGCTTACGACTATAGTAAGATGTTTTGGATTACTTTTCATACACACATCTCTTTTTCTTAACTGTTTGAAGTTGAGCAAAATCTACTTTCTTGTTTATGTGTAACCGTGCATATAATACAGATAATAAAATAGCTTTCTTCCATTTAGACTGATCTCACAATGCTGAAATTAGCAGCATTAGAAAGTAATAAAAATCAAGACCTGGAAAAGAAGGAAGGTCGCATAGATGATTTGCTCAGGGTAAGTAATACATCATGGAGCAGGAGAAACTATTGAGAAAAATAGTATTATAAAATAAAATGTTCTGTACTTGAAACAAACTTTTTCTGGTAGTGAAGGATGTGAATCCAAAGGCCCATGTTAAAGTCATAGTACTTTATTAGGTCTTTCAGTGTGAATTGAGAAATTGTTGAAGAAATAGAAGTTTTTTTTTTTTTAATTGATCAATTATCCATCTGACAGATATCCTATTTGATGGTAAGTAGTTGATATCGCTCTATGCCTGACATTTGATACCTCAGAGAATGAAATCACTGCCATAGTCCTGTGAGGTTTTTTTTTTTTTAATAGAAACTTTATTGTAAAACATAAATCCAGAAGCTGGACATGGTAGTACACACCTTTAATACCAGCACTCAGGAGGCAGAGGCAGGTGGACCTCAATGAGATTAAGGTCCCCCTGATCTACATAGTGAGTTCCCACCTGCCATAGGGAGGCAGCCACCTGGGGCTACCAGGACTTGTCTCGAAAAAAAATTCTGAGCTGGAGAGATGGACCAGCAGTTAAGAGTACTGACTACTCTTGTAGAGGACAGGGGTTTTGTTTTCTAGGGTACACATGGCAGCTGGCAACTGTCTGTAACTCCAGTTTCAGGAGGCCCTCTTCTAGCCTCTATAGGGGTTGTACTACATGGGTGTACTTACATGCAGGCAAAATACCATATACATATATATGTATATTTATAAAAAGTAAGACTAAATGAACAAATTAATAAATCCAAGGGGTCCCACAAGATGGTTCAGCAGGTAAAGGTGCTTGCTGTGCAAACCTGGAGACCTAATTTCCATCCTGGGATCCTTCTAAAGGGGCTCAGGAGATGGCTCAGTGGTGAAGTGCAACATGAAGACCCGAGTTTGGATCTCTAGCATGCAAGCATGTCTCAGCAAGCTTTGCATGTAATTCCCTTCCTGTAATACTAGACTAGTCAAACTCCTCTGGGATTAGAGAGAGACCTCCTTTTTGAACATATGGCTGCCTACAAAGTGAACAGAATTGGTATCCTTTTGCCAACAAAGAATGGTGGGTGTAGTTAATTGGATCAGCAAATTATAGTATCTCCACAAGAACAAATTCACATTTGTTCTTAAATGTTTTATATACAGTATATACTGCATTTTATTTATTTTTAGCTGAGGTAGATTGTGTGGCTGCTATTTAGAAATAAGGGAACTGAACTTAGATTCAGATTACTTAGCCAAAATTGTATTCCTTGGAACATGAATGTAAATGTCCAGAATGTATATGTAACTTTGCATACTTTGCCTTACAGTTAAATTAATGTTTAATAGTATTATCTCATAGTAAATATACTAAATATTTAGTCTTTTCTTTAGTTTATTCAGAACATTAAAACTGTAACTAAACTTTTCATGTACACCAATTATAGATTTTTTGTCATTCTCTACTTGCATTGTAGGCTAATTGTGATCTCAGACGGCAAATAGATGATCAACAAAAATTACTTGAAAAATACAAAGAACGATTAAATAAGTGCATATCAATGAGCAAGAAGCTTCTTATTGAAAAGGTAATAATGAATTTTCCCCTCCCCTTCACTTGCCCCTCTGCCTTGTAAGTTTTTAAAGTTCAAATGAATGTAATTTTGAGTGATGATTTTTCCTCATTTTCAGAGTACACAAGAAAAACTGTCAAGCAGAGAGAAGAGTATGCAAGATCGGTTACGCCTTGGGCACTTCACAACAGTTAGACATGGCGCTTCGTTTACTGAACAGTGGGCAGATGGTTTTGCCTTTCAGAATCTTGTGAAGTTAGTAATTGTACATTTTAAAAAATTAGTCATTTTAGTTTTCATTACTTTAAAAGATTATAAATTTGGAATTATGTCCAACATTTCCTTACTATTTGAAATTCTAAAATTTAACATATGAAAAGAATATGAAACAGAAGTATTATAACTGTAGTATTGAACAGAATTCTTGCTTGATTAGCATTCATCTAAGGAGTATAGGTGTTGTGTACATGTGTCCCATTTGTTGGCATTACAGAAACATGTCACCATACATGGCTTTTTTTTTTCTTTTTTTAAAAAAATTTTTTTTTAATTTATTTAATGTGTATGGGTGTATTGCTTGCATGTAGGTAGGTGCACCCATGTTGTGCAAAAGAGGGCGTTGGATCCCCTGGAACTGGAGTTACAGATGGTTGTTAGCCACCATATGGCTGCTGGGAATCAAACCCTGGTGCTCCACAGTCAATGCTCTTAAACCACTCTATCCAGCCCCACACATGACTTTTTTTTTTTGTCTTTTTGAGACAGGGTCTCCCTGTAGGCCCAGCTGACCTGAACTCACTATGTAGACCAGGCTGGCCTTGAACTCATAAAGATCCTCCTGCCTTTGCCTCCCAAGTGCTGGGACTAAAGGCATGTGCCACTACGCCCGGCCATACATGACTTATTTACATAAGTTCTAGAGATCCAAACTCAGGTCTTCATGCTTGCATTTTACCTCTGAGCTAACTCCTCAGCCCTTATTTTTCTAAACCTCCCTTTCCAAAAATATAAACTGACCCCCTAATTTTATTGATGGTGTTATATGTGTGTATGTGTATTACTCCTTCCCAAAGAAAGAAAATAATTAGAATTTTTATACTCATTGAAAAGTAAGTGTCTGTCTCTGAAGATTATTTGATTATTTTTGAGATGGGTCTTGCTGTGGTTTTCCAGTCTGGTCTTGAATTTCTAGACTTAAGTGATCTTCCTGCCTCAGCCTTCTGAGTGTTGGAACTTTAGGTACATACCACCTTGCCCATCTCTTTACTTTTTCCTCATTTCTCCAGTCCTTAAGTGTTAGACATCAGCACCCCCTGATCTCTCTGCCTCAGGAAAAGAATTTTCCTCTTTTGCCTCAGCTACAGTAACTCACACATCAGTTGAACCAATCAAGTGGCTTTAGCATTTCAAGGTAAACTTTAAAACAAAATCATTGTTTCTACATTTTTCTAGTTCCCATGGTGGTAGGTAAGAGTAAGTTGGCTATTTATGTGTTAGAAGCCAGGACCATGTTACTCTCTTTAGAATTTTGTCTGGAAAATTTGTAGAACCTATAGAAAGCCGGAGTGTTGGTTTCTACCTCAGCTTTCCAGAGCAAAGCCTGCTTCCAAGTAGTAACAAGTTAGCATTGCTGTTTCAAACGCTTCTTCTCAGGACTTACCACAAAATGGCATTGTCTTGCCCCTGGTTCTCAACAGACTTACTGAGTTTTTGTTTTTATTTATGTTTTGGTCTTTTTGAGACAGGATCTCCCTGTAGCTACAGCTGGCCTGGATTTGCTAAGGAGACCAGGCTGGCCTCAAACTCACAGAGATCCACCTACTCCTGCCTCCCAGGTGCTGAGATTAAAGGCTTGCGCCACCACACACAGCACAGACTTATTGAGTTTTTGTTCAATAAAGCTGAATTAGGTATTAGACTCACCACAGTGAAGGACAGACTCCTTGTGAACCTATTAAGTTTAGATTTTTTATTTTTTTTATTTTATGGGTATGAGTGTATTGCCTGCATGTATGTGAGTCCACCCATGTTGTGCAGTGCCACAGAGGTCAGAAGAGGGCTTCGGATTCCCCTGGAACTGGAGTTAAGGACGGTTCGTAGCCGCCATGTGGGTCCTGGGAATCAAACCTGGGTCCTCTGCAAGAGTAGTCAGTGCTCTTAACCGCTGAGCCATCTCTCCAGCCCCATAAATTTAGGTTTTAATTTTGTGCCTCCTTTAGAGGTATTGAAGGTTAATAATGTAGTATATTTGATCAAAATTGTGATACAGAATAATTTAATGATGTGGAATTAATATTGAGAGGAAGATAAATTGTTGACAGGATGGAAAAAGATTCAAAAAGTAGGGAGCTGGAAATGGGTTTAAGATGAAAACCATAATTTTTTAGTATTTTGTAAGCAAGAATCTTGCTACTAAACTCAGCCCTGACTGCCTTACAATAATATGTATGGTCTAAAATGTTAATGATTAATTCTACCAGTAACAGTTTCTTATAAAAAACATTTGCATGTCTTAACTCTCAATAAGCACTGATTGAGGCCTTACATATTTTGCTACATATAATGTCATGATGTTTACAGTTGGTGGTTCAAGGATGAGAAGGGAAGTGAATAAATAAAATAAATAAAATTTGTCAAATTGGGGCTGGAGTTGCTCAGTGGTTAAGAGCAATGGCTGCTCTTGTAGAGGAGCCAGGTTTGATTCCCAGTAGTTTGTAACTACAGTTCCAGGGCATACAGTGCACCCTCTTCTGGGCTCTGCACATGTGATGAACTGATACGCAGACAAAACACTCATACACATAAAAATAAAATAAATTTGTTATGTTAATCAATAATCTCTAAACCCAGAGGTGATCCCTGAATAATCGGGTACTAACTGTATGTCCAGTCCAGTAATTCTTTACTTGCTGTTAAGCTGTTTATTTATACTGAACAGACTCTTTTCTAAACTACATTTAACTTTTACTTTGTTATTGTTTGAGATGCTAGGGATCTGTCCAAGGTCCTCGCAAATATTGGGCAAGTATTCTACCACTGTGCTATATTCCGAATCCTAAGATTTTCTTAGTTATTAAGTAAGGACAAGTTAAATTATTCCTACTTCCAAATGAAAGCTGGATTAACATCTATTCTTACTTTACTATTCTTTGTTGTTGTTTTTTTGAGACAGGGTCTCCCTGTAGCTCCAGCTGTCCTGGAACTCACTATGTAGACCAGGCTGGCCTTGAACTCACAGAGATCCTCCTGTCTCTGGCTCCTGAGTGCTGGGATTAAAGGCATGTGCCACCACACCCGACCTTACTTTACTATTCTTGAGATTTTTTTAGTATATATTTCTGTTCTTCTACCTTGGTTCTTCTTGAGTCTTTCGATCCTGTTCTAGTCTGCCATCCCTGACCCCACCCCCAGGGCTACAGAAAAGGAATGTGTACAGAGCCAATTCTACAGCTGCAGAGTAGAAATTCAGTGGTCTCTGTTTGAAGGGTAGGGGTAGATGCAGTAGGCAGAATATTTTACTCACTAAATCTCAGTATCATAGCCATGTACATCTATAACATTATTTTGTTGACAGGGTAGGAAGTATAAAAGGGACAGTTACTATCAGAATAAGCTTAAGATGTATGATGAACTAGCTTGACAAAAAGCAGGTAAAGACACTAGATACCAATCCTGATAAACCTGAATTCCAATCCTGGGACCCACATGGTGGAAGTCTGTCAAACGGACTTCCCAGAAATCATCTTCTGACCTCACACATGTGCTGTGGAATGTGCCCCACAAAAAAATACGTAAATAAATGCAATAACATTTTTTAAAATATTTTTTTAATTATTATTTTTTTTAATGTGTATGAGTATATTGCCTGGGTGTATGTGAGTGCGCCCATGTCGTGCAGTGCCACAGAGGTCAGAAGAGGGCTTTGGAGTCCCCTGGAACTGGAGTTAAGGACAGTTCATAGCCGCCATGTGGGTGCTGGGAATTGAACCCAGGTCCTCTGCAAGAGCATTCAATGCTCTTAACCGCTGAGCCATATATCCAGCCCCTTATTTTATTTTTATTTTTAGTGTACGAGTGTATTGCCTGTATGTATGTAAGTGTACCTGTGTCGCACAATGTCCCCAGTCAGAAGAGGGCTTCGGATCCCCTGGAACTGGAGTTATGGATGGTTGTTAGCCGTGTGGGTGCTAGGAATCGAACCTCTGTCCTCTGCAAGAGCAGCCAGTGCTCCTAACCACTCATCTCTCCAACTCCAATAAATAAATGTAATACCATTTTTTAAAAAGACAGAAATATCCCCTGGTAATCTACTGTATGTATATTTGATACAAGTTCTTGCTTTGTAGCTCAAACTGCTCTTGCTTTAACTTGGAATTTTCCTGCCTCAACCCTCTCCCCACCCCAAACTCCAGGCTTACAGCCCATTCCACCAAACCTGATCAACCTGCAGTTTTGTAATAGACATAATACCTGTTAGTTTTTAGAATCAGTGAGCTCTTTGCAAGTGTTTTTTACATTCTTGAATGGGAAGTGCTAATAAATTTACATTAAAGTAACAGGTATATTTTGTAAATGCATGGCTCCTACTATTACTTCCTTTCCTTAAATTTTCAAAGTTTTTTTGCCCACCCAGCAGGCATGTGGACTTTAAAAAAAAAATTTTATTATTATTATTTTTATGTCTATGTGTGTATTGCCTGCATATAGGTAAGTACACCCGAGTCGTGCAATGCCCACGAGGGCAGAAGAAGCCATTGGATCCCCTGGAACTGGAGTTACGGACAGTTGTTAGCTGCTGGGATTCAAACCTGGGTCTTCTGCAAGAACAACCAGTGTTCTTAACCGCTGAGCCATCTCTCCAGCCCCTTCCCTAAGTTTTTCATATTAACATCAGCTTTTCTTTTATTTCAAAATGTCAACTCTGTCTGCATTCTGAAAATTTCATTTTAGAAAGTAACATTGTCACTGGGCGTGGTGATGTATGACTTTAATCCCAGCAACCCAGGAGGCAGAGGCAGAGGTAGGCAGATCTCTGTGAGATCAAGGCCAGCCTGGTCTACATAGTGAATTTCATTATAGCCAGAGCTACATTGTGAGACCCTGTCTCAAAAAACAAGAAAATAATATTAAATTTGCATTTGTCATTTGCCTTGTACAAACTTATCTGGAAATATTAGTGCTAAGTGTTGGAATGTATGCATAAAATGTACTCCATATTTAACTCAAAGATAGATTTTTTTATTTCGTTTTGTTTGTTTGTTTGGTTTTTAGTTCATTTCTTTTATTTAACAAACTCTTACTGTGTATACCTAGTAGTTTTGGTCACCATGCCTAGTATTAAGGATATGATAAAACATAGACTATATATACTATCTGTATTTTTTGAAAGATTTACCTAGCCAAACCCATTCTGATGAAGTATCTATAGGAATGCTATTTGTAGTAAGGGCAACGAAATGTGGCCACACACTTTGCTTAGTCTAGGGGTTGAGGGAATACCTCACTTAAAAACAATTGTTATGAGGTGAGACCTTCAGGATAAGTACATGTTACTTCATTAGAATGGGGCCAGGGGCCTAGAAAGATGGCTCAGCAGTTAAACTGGCTGCTCTTGCAGAGTACCTGGGCTTGAGTCCCAGCTCCCACATGACTAACAACCATTTGTGACTCTGGTTCTAAGAGATCTGTTGCTCTCTTTTGGACTCTGTGGGCACCAGACACACATGTGGTACACAAGTATACATGCAGGCAAAACACGCATAAACATTTTTTTTAATCATAAAAAAATTAAAAAATAGAACCACAGGTTACAAATTTATATTATATGATCATGTTTTAAAACTGATTTTTTTCATGTTTTAATTTTAAAAAGTAATGGGGGAGATGAATGTGGCTGTGTTTGTTCATTTTCACACAGGCAACAAGAAGGGGTGAACCAGCAAAGGGAAGATATTGAAAGGCAGAGGAAACTTCTAGCCAAACGCAAACCTCCAACAGCTAATAATTCTCAGGCACCTTCTACCAATTCTGAACCAAAACAAAGGAAAAACAAAGCAGTCAACGGAGCAGAAAATGATCCTTTTGTTAGACCAAATTTACCACAACTGTAAGTCTGTATTTTAATTTTTCTTTTAAAACTTGTTAGCAGCATTCCTTTTAAAACAGGAATGCTAACAGTGCTGTTATTTATAATTAGTACTTTAGAAACAAAAGGTTGTGGATAGGAAGGAAGATAGTACTGAAAAAGTTTTCTCTGAGAAAAACTCCAAATATCTGACTTCTACCTTTTTAAGTGGAGATTGGAATTTACCCTTCTACATCTAAACTGTTAAAGAATCAGTTAAAAGTTTTGGCTATTCCAGTTAAGTGTTTAGATTAATGTTCATTTTAAGTAACAACAGCTGTTGTTTATTTTCTACATCTCTAAAAGCAATTCATTGGTAATTACAGATATTTTTCCTTTTCCATTTTTTTTCTAAAATTTCCATGTTAATTTTTCTCTGCAATTTAAGGAATAAAGATATTTTAAAGATAGTTACATACTTAGTGAAAATTTGTGAAATTTTACATAAAGTTATATGAATGTATAAGTACCCTTTGTTTTCTGTATCTGTGTTTTTTTTCTTAGTTGAAAGACAGTGCTTTGAATTTCACCCCTTGCTGCCAGGGAATTATTGGTATCTCTTTTATGTCTTCAACTTCTGTTCTTATTGTGTTCCTTTCAGAAAACAGCAAAGCAAAGAAAGGCTCCTTCTTATTCAATTACAGATCTTTTGTCTCCCATTCCAGCCTCTCACTGAAATACATGATGCTTGGTGTTCTCTGTACTAAATAATGGTTCTCTGGTCTCTCATGCCAGAATCCACTCATTCATCTTCATCCTCCTTTCCTACTGCCCCACCCCCACCCCATTCCATTTTCTTTGACTCCTTTTTATCTTTCTGTGTTGCCATGGTGATCTTGAATTCATGGGGTCATACCATCCTCCTGTCTCAGCTTCCAAAATATCTGGTAGTACATGTGCAGACCACCTTGCCCAGTTGCTTCTTCAAGTCTTTCTTAATTTTCTTGTACAGTTAGAACATTTGATTATTGTTATTAAAATCTAATAAGGAACTGTATTTAACAAATGGGTAGTTATAGTAAAAGAAAATGTTAGTGTTAACCCCTATAAATATGCAATCCCTTGGGTCTTACATCTGTCCACTTTCCTTTAGACAGTCCTCTTTCCAACTCAGGTTGAGTTGTTTTTTTTTTTTTAAATCTGCCCCCCCCCCCAGCTTAGTCTAGTCCTGTAACATATTTTCATGTTAGAGTCATTTTTCCAGAATCTTTTCCTTTTAAGCCTAACAAAATTCTCCATTACTTGAATGATATAATCTAAAAACCTTAATGTGGCTTTTACAGCAGTCTTGATCTGTCTTCTTTTGACCTGGCTAATCTCATCTTTGCCTTTGATCAATACCTCTTCCTCAGCAGTCAACTTTTAAACTCTTAGCTCATTGTCTTAATTTCTGTTAGATGCTACCTCCCCTTAACTCCAGTAATCACTCTGAGCACTTGCCATAATGCTGTTTCCAGCCATAGCATCCCCATCCACTCAGTTAATGAAACCAGAAACCTAGGAATCCTCCTTGATGTTTCTCTTATTGCCCATGCCCATTTCTATATCATTTTTGTTCATTTTCATGGCCACTTTCTTAGTATAGAAACTGATTTTTTTTTAAAGCTTTTATAACTGCTTCTCCCTTTTCTCAGCATGTCACATTCTTCTTCCTTTTTTTCCCCTTCTTTTAGTAGCCTTCTGGATAATCCTTTATAAGTCTCCTCCAACATGTACCCTATGGTAAATGCTTATTTCTCTGAATAGGCTGTGCTTTCTTCTTTACTTTGTTCACTTTGTTCCTTTTTTCTGTTCATCTCTCTTTTTTAATCTCTCAAATGCTAATGTCAATAAGAAGCCCTCTGGCCCTTTTCTTCCTAGTGTATTGCTGCCCTTCCTCCCCAGATAAGGCACCCATGGCCTCTGCACACCTGGCTATGCTGTGGTGTTTATTTCACTCTTCCATAACTACAGTTGGAATATCTCAGCATAGTTGCTGACATAAGAAAAGTAGTAAGAACTAAATTCTACTACATGAGCATTTGATTTTTGGGTTCTATTTTCTCTGTGCTAGACTTTTTTGGGGTTTTTTGTTTTTTTTTTAGATTGTCACAGGTTGTTTTGCTTACTTGTTTTTAGAGGTGCTAAGAGCTCTGACTGTAGTTGAGTAATTATAGTCCTTCTCATCATCACCCAACTGGACTGCATCGCATAGGCTAATTTAAAAGTGATGGACGTAACACTAGTTGTGTGTTCTTGGGGTGGGAACAGAAATGATTGATAATCCTTAGCAATTTGAGTGCATATTACAAATTTAAATAATGAAAAAAGCCTCAGAAGCACTTTGATTCATATATTCTCTGGTCTTATGTTCTTAACAAAAATTTTAGCAGCATATTTTATAAATATCTTTGAAAATTTTCCTTTGAATCACTCTTTGGAAAATAGGCTTTGACTTGTGTATAGAAATTTCAATATAATTGGAACACAGATTGTGAGTCCTTAATTATTATTTTACCTTGGAGAGCATCATCTTTTGACACTATTCCATGTTTTAGTCCATGAATATAGAATGTCATTTCAGATTTCTTTAGCAGTTTGTTTTGTTCTGGTGTTTGTTTTATGTCTTTTTTTTTTTTTTTTTTTTTTTTTTCAGACAGGGTTTCACTATGTAGCCCCTGCTGACCTGGAACTCACTATGTAGACCAGGCTGGCCTTGAGCTCACACAGGTCTGCCTGCATCTGCCTCTTAAGTGCTGGGTTTAAAGACATGCCCCAAACACCTGGCCTTTAGCAGTATTTTATGGTTCTCCATATAAAAGTCTTCACGTTCCCTAATTAGTTTTATTTCTAGGTCTTTTTAGTTGGCTGTTGTTGGCAATTATTTTGTCTCAGCTGTTCTGTAGTGTGTAGAACCAACTGATTTCTGCCTTCATTTCATCCCTTAAACTATTGCTGAATTTATTTAGTACATTTTTATCCTTGTGTATTTCTCAGGAATAATTTTTTATGTGTAGAGTCCTGCCATCAGTGTACAGGATAGTGTTACCTTTTCCTTTACAGTTAAGATGCATTCTTGTTTCTTCCTGTCAGGTCATCTCATTGATTCTGTCCTGAAAATATTTAAAAGACGTGGAATAATTATTACTATGAGGAGGATGGATATCAGTGGGTCGAGGAGGGGAAGGAGAAGTAAAGGCAAGAGGAGTTAGGCACAAATTCTAGGCAGGGAACCAGAAGTCAGAACAGGGTGAATTTTCAATTTAAGAGTTTCTTGATGAGAGCGTCCAAAAGCATCCATCTACTGGGTATCTCCTTAGTTTTCTTTTGGATGCCATGGATAGACTCAGGATTTGCTTTTCAGGCAACTTGATAGTTGTCGGCATGGCTCACAGTGTGAGTTCCCTCCCAAATGTCCTCTAGACAGGGTGAGAGAAGAAATTTAGCCATTATTTAATTTTTAGATACGAATGGTGCGTTTTTCCTTTCGGCTGCAGGTATACACTGCAGAGTTGATGAGGCCAGGATTTGAAGTCTTACACCTGAACAGCATTTTCTTATTAAGAAACTGGTGAGAAATTGTCTAAGTAACATCTTATATAAACTTAAGGCTAATGCCTGAAGTGCAATCCTTTGGACTCTTAAAGAAATATACCAATTATTTTACTCTCTGGTTATACTTTCCTGTTGGATGTTTAAGACATGCAGTTAGCCCAAATAAACCAGTTTATTTTTATGCTTAAGGTCGGTTAAGGAGCTATTCCTCAGGGTCACATGAGCTTGGGAGGAGCCTCTGGCTCCTTCTGTCTTTCTTTTACAGGTTCCATCTATGTGAGAATTAGTTAAAGGTCCTGCTTGACCATGGCTTTTCTTGGAAGCATGGAGGAAACTTTTCTCTGTGTGACCCTCCTCTTTGCAGACTGGACATTGGTTTGAGTCCTTCTGGTGGGGCCTCCATGGCCTCCCTGAACAGGAGGACAGGTCACACATCACAGTTACAGAACATTTCAAGAGATGCCCCTATAGTCCCCTGGGACTTAGTTGACCTTGGAGGACAAGGAACAAAAAATTGTCCCTTTAAGTCCCTCTGGCCAGATTATTATAGGCCACAAAGTACGGTTATTAAACACCCAAGGAGGTTAGTTATGCCAATCTGGTACATGTAATTACCATGTATTATGTAGATAAAACTTGAGCAGCAACCATATGTTCTTTTTGAGGCAGGGTCTTTCTGTAGCCCCAGCTGACTTGGAACTCACTGTGTAGACCAGTCTGGTCTTGAACTTACAGAGATCTACCCGCCTCTGCCTTGAGAGTGCTGGGATTAAAGGCATGAGCCACCACACCTGGGAACCATACATTCTTAAACCTTGACTAGACATACATATTTTGTTCCTTAAGTTAGTCTATAAAAATTAAGGTTTAACTGAAGTTTGACCTTAGGAAATTTAAGGTTACTTTAGATCTAGGTACTTAGAGCGCTATCCAGATAATGTAGGAAGAGTGGGCCTAAGTCAGGAAAAAGAGATTGAACATTACAGGTAAGTAGGCATAGCCCAGGAAGAGAACTTAAAATATTTTTCTTAGGTCTGTCTCAAATGAAGACTGTTCTGCTATAAACAGAAACAGTCTCCTTTCTTTCCCAGTTCCCCATACCCTGATTTACAGTTTTTCCAGAAGGAAGGGGCTGGGGGATAACATTACATATCGATAGACAAAAAATAAGATGATCAAGATTCAGTTTCCTTCTGTGCTGTATACATCTGGTTCAAGGAGGTAAAAATCTTGTTCCTCTTGAGCCATATAGGCAAAAGTAACAGTTGCATAATACAGAGAAACACAAAGGACATTTTCCAGTAGCTACAGATAACTCAATGTTTGTACCCATTTAATGGACTGAAATTTTTTTTGTTTGGCTCCATCAGTAATTATTATAGCAAAAACTCTGTATCTGTATGACCCTGCTCAGACCTTCAGTAAACTTGCTTAATAACATTTACAAACAAATTTACCATTTATTGTGAGAATTTACCAAGCAATTAATGTTTTACTTTTACACACACACACACACACACACACACACACACACACACACAGATGTACTTAAAATTAATTCATATATTTGAGTAATAGGAACCATGTTGTAGATAAGGATTAAAGAGATAACATTTTTTTTTTGAATTCAAGGCCAGCCTGCTCTACATAGTGAGTTCCAGGACAGCTTGGGCTACAGGGAGACCCTGTCTCAAAAAGAACAAAAATAAATAAATAAATAAATAAATAATTTATATATTTAGATAAAAGAAATTAAGATAATCTACAGGAACAGGATTTTATCACATAGGATGAAAAGTGCTACGCTAGGATAATGATAGCATCAACAATTTTAGGTCACCAGTTATTTTTATTATGTGTTTTTAAGACGATTTAAAAAAAAACAAAACTGTAGACCAGGCTGGCCTCGAACTCACAAAGATCCACCTGCCTCTGCCTCTCAAGTGCTGGGATTAAAGGCGTGCACCACCATGCCCAGCCAAGATTTTATTTTTATATGTATGTGTGAGTGAGTGTATGTCAGGTATGTGGGTTCCCACAGAGGCCAGGATATTGGACTTCTCTGGACCTGGCATTGTAGGCCATTACAGGCCTCTTGACATGGGTGCTGTGAACAAACTCAGGTCCTTTGGAAGAGCAGTAAGCACTCTTAACTTCTGATCCATCTTGCCGGCCTCATAAATATCTAGTAAAACATTTTTAATTAATACAAATGGACAACAGAAATAACCTAAAAAGCTACTACTGTATATTGGCTACTTTTTGCAATATCGGGGCTTGTATTATAGTTGGTAAGACAGGATCTTGGAATAGGAGGCTTTAAATTTTTAAAAATGAGTGTTTTGCCTTAATGTAAGTGCACCCATATCGTGCAGTGCTTCCTGAAGTCAGAGGAGGGTATCAGGTCCCCTGGAATTGGAGTTACAAATTGATTTTTAGATGCCACATGGGTGCTAGGAACTGAACCTGGGTCTTCTGCAAGCACAGCCAGTTCTTTTAACCACTGAGCATTTCTCTAGCCCTGTGGAATAGGAGCCTTTAAACTAGCATTCCAAGCTATTTAAACTAGCATCCCAAGCTATTTATATGCATAATTCTCTTGAGAGAGTATCTTTTTTTTTTTTTTGTAATTGTAAAATGTTAGCAATCACTGCTCTAGAAAGTTAGTAGAAGTATAAGACAATAAAATAAATGATTCAGATTGAAGAAATTCTAGCAATCTGTATGTATAGGAGCTTTGAAATTTTTCATGATAGGATTCTGCTTTAAAAATCATGTTTTAACTTTGATTTTTGAATACCAGTTATTATCTTTGTTTTTTAACTCAGGTAAAAATCAGTGTATGCCTATATATAACCAACTGAAAAAGATTTACATAGTATGATAAAATTCTGATCCATTCTGTGATCTACTGATAGGTCTAAAGCTATCCTTTTTAAAAATAGAAAACAATGCTATAGGTAAACTTCTGCCCACAGCTTCTGTGCTACAAACCCAGAAGTTCTTAAAGCTGTCATTCACTGAGTTAGTTGAGATAGTCATTTTAGTTTCCTCACCTTTACTTTTCCTTCCCTTATCCAGTACACATACTCAATGCAAGAATTAATTATGTTGTTTTGTTTTGTGATAAGTTCTAGCTCTTAGCCCAGGCTGGTCTGGAGTTTCTGATCCTCTTGCTGAGATTGCAAGTACTGGGATTGCAAGATGCAGTTACAGAGTGTGTTGTCACACCTCCTGCAAAAAATTAATTCTCTAACGTTGCTATAAGCAACTTCAGTGGGTGTCACTGTTGCTAGATTTGATGTAACCCTGTAATTGTGTTACTCTAAGAATGAGTAGACTTAAATGGTTTTACTTTTTTCACTTTTAAGATGTTCTTAGTTTTCTTAGTTTGTACCTTTTGAATGCTGTTGCTTAGTAGAATAAGTAAATTGAAGAATACATACTAAATGTTGCTGAGGACCCTGAACAACACCTGAATTAGGAGCTTTACAAAGTCTCCTTGGAACAACACGAGTAAATAGCCTACCGCATGAACGTGATAGGCGAACGCAAGTCTTTAATAGTTGTTCTGTTGTACGTTTTTGTTCATTTGTTTTCTGTGTTTTTAAAAAAACTCCCTGTTAGAATAAAGGATCTTTTTTCTTTTTAAAATCTATTATTTTTATTTTATGTCTGTTAGTGTATTGCCTGCATGTATATAAGTGCACTCATGTTGTATAGTGCCTAAGAGGTCTGAAGAGTGCATTTGATCCTCTGGAATTACAGAGACGATTGTTAGCTATCATGTGGGTACTAGGAGTTGAACCCGAGTCCTCTGCAAGAGCATTCAGCGCTCTTAACCACTGAGACATCACTCCAGCATCCCAGATATTTTTTAAGAAATATTTTTTGTAAAGCATGTAAGTTTTGTAATGAGTCTAAACATATTAAATTGGCTATTTTTCAAAGTGATGTAGGTATTTGGAATTAATAACTAACACTTTAAAGATTTAAAGTCATTTGTTATTAAGGATTTAGTGATAGAGCCTTTGTCTGATATATATGAGGCCCTGGGTTTGATCCCCAACACCAGAGTGTGGTAGGGGATTTACAGTATCAAAATTCGGTGCTTTGACTGTAGTTTTAGTGTTTATCTTTGTTGTTTTTCCTAAACCTACTGGACCTATTTTGAAGTGATTTTCATTACTGTTGAAGTCCCTTATTCCTTATACCTGGTCTGCAGGCCCCTCCACCATTTGGCATCCCATCCCCATTTGCCTCTGCCACTGCTCACAACCTCTTTGACTACAGCCTTATAGTCCTTTTGCTTTTCCTTCCTCTTTTAAATGTAAAGCATCTTCTAAGGATCTTTGTACTTGCTGTAACCAGTGTCTAGAAAATACACCCCAGTCTTTTCATGGTTTAAGCAGAGTAAATATTTAGGTAGTCATCATTGTACTTCCTTGTGTCTTCATCACACTTGCTATTTTCATTGCGTTGCTTCTTTTCTACCTCCTTGTCCCCTGCTCTTGATTGTAATCTCAAACCAAAGTATAAGGAGACATTGTCCTCTTCTCCATATGCCTTTAGGTTCTGAATTGTAGAGCCGTCATTTGATACATGGTACTCATCAACTATTTGATTTAGGTCATTACTTTGGCCATAACTGTTACATGTGTTATGAAGACTATCTTAAAGGGATTTTTTACGTATTTTATACTAAAAGTTGTCAGTATTTTAGCATTTCTTTTTTATTGGTTTTTATCATTTTGTTAGTTTTTTAATAAAAAGTAGTGCTGAGTGTTAATCTCAAAATGTAGAATTAAAATTTCACTTTTGACAGGTTGACTTTGGCAGAATATCATGAGCAAGAAGAAATTTTCAAGCTCAGACTAGGCCATCTCAAAAAGGTATGTGCAGCATGTGCTGGATTTCTTGCTTATTACCAATTGTGGAGAACTGTGCTTAAAGTCTTTTTATTTCAGAAGATAAAACTAAAAGAAGGTCTCAGATTTAAAAATGCAAACAAAGGGAAGGGATACCCTGAAGTTGTTTTTATGTTGAGTGTGCTAAAATCATATTCCTTTACCTTGTGGCAACTTCAATAATACCCTAAGGCTGATGCACGAGACTCTCCAGTGGAATGATTACTGACCAGGCCTCGGGGCTTTAGAGTACTCTGTTTAAAGTTACCAGTTTTGGGCATAAAATTGTTCCTTTTTTCTTTTAATGTTTCATTTTTTAAGGTAAATGTCAATTCTGTTTTGTGTCTGTTTCATAGTAACTAGGAGTAATAATTCTAAATGAACAGGAGATTTATTTGGTTTAATTCCTAATTTATTAAATGCTTGCTTAAATAGTTTTATATGTACATATATTTTTTTTAAACCTAAAGCATCAATATTAGTATAAAGTGATACAGTTGAGAAAAACTGTTGCTGAATGTTACTGTAAGTTTTTAGTAATGTATCACTTTGTACTTGTTTGTAAACTCTGAGGTTGTAATTAGTCCTTTGTTTTCATAAGCCTTAATTTTAATTCAAACCATTTCCAAATGTTAGTAATAAAGAGCTTTTCCCCCTACAGAATAAAGTTATTTACAGACAAAATTTCCTTTGATCCAATCTTTCATTCTGATTCCTGCTTGTCAGTTATTTAATTTTTAATAGGCTGATGTATAGATAAAATTGAACTAATTGAAGTAGTATCTATGAAGTCTTTTCTGAGCCGAAGGGTGGAATAAGACCCAGAACCCCATGTGGTGCAGACAGCTGCCACTGCATTGTATACACAGCTCTGTTTGAGATGTTGTCCACATGCTACTGGATTAGAAGACTCAGAAAACCAGTGCCCTTCACTGTGCTGTATTTGCTTGGACTACTGCACAGAAAGCATCAACCTAATTGCTTGAACAATGAATCCCAAAATGATTAATTTTGGCCTTTTTTTCCCCCTCTCCCAAATCTTTTGTTGTCTTATAATTATTGACTGCTTTCCATTCTCTTAGACAATGTCATTCTTTGCTCTATAGCAGGTAGAACTGTAGAACTGTAATAGTAGAACAATAATACAAGTATATAATGGAACTATGTAAAGGAGGAGGGTCTTTAATACAGAATGAGCCACAGGTATTTATTTGTGTGTCTACTTCAGCTATTTTGATAATGAATTCATAAGAAGATATGTTTAATACCCCATATAAAAATTTACCAAAGGCCAGTGACATGGCATACGAGGTAAAGGTGCCTGCTGCCATGCCTGACAACTTAAGTTTGAGCCCCAGAACCCACATGGTGGAAGGAGAGAAACGACACCAAAATCTTGTCCTTTGATCTCCACATATGTGCATACACACACAAATAAATAATGTAATTAAAAAATTTAAAGTTCCTCAAGCATTTCAGTGCTGAATTTAATAAAAGAAAATTTCACCAGTTGTTTTCTAATCAGTCTTTGATAATAAAGTAATACTGAGTATGTGATTAGTTATACTATTGCTAATTAAATCCTTAGTTATATTGGTTCTAAGAATATACTTAAAGCTTTATCTGGAGGGTTATTCTCACAAATTTTATATAACTCTAATGATGACATTCTTATACCTGTACCTTATTTTATAGAAATCTGTTTATAAAATTAAAATTTTATAGCAGTCAAAATGTCAAAATGGCTATTTGTTATTAAAAAAAGTATTTTTGAAGAGCAGTCACAGGAGAGTTTGATTTTAGTAGTTGGTGGTTAAGTTTAACCTTTTCTTGGTCCTTTGAAAATACTGGTCTCTATGAAATATGCGTTACTTCCTAAAGCAAACGTGCCTAGTTAATACATAGACATTGTAGATACCTTCTTTTCTAGCCTTCCTGCAGTCCTCTTTCCCTGCATTTGACCTCTGCGTTTTTCATGTTTACTTTCCTTTCTAATAACTACCCTCTCCGTAATCTTTTTGTATTTTCCCTCCCAGCTTTTATCAAGTTTACTGTGCAGTCTTAGGTTTCAAACTTACCTTCTCCTTAACTAATTTGTAATACAACCTTTCTTTGACCTTTACCATGGAATATTTTTGGAGAAATATTTACTAATAATGCTGAATGTCTCAAATACTTTACATTTTCTTCTCAGAGTTTATTTTGGGTAAGAAGAATGAATGTGTTTATTAAGGAAGTTGTTGATAGTACATAAACATAATAAAACTGAGCATGTAATGTCACCTTAGAGAACAACTAAATAGCAGTTTCCTGCTTACAACTGAGTATTTATTTTTGAGTTATACAATTAAAAACTAATAAGCAGTGGCTTAATTTGTATTAAAAAGAGGTTTCCGAAGCATAGCTAGAAAGTAGGTCATTCTGTTTTGTACAAAAGAGAAGACTTAACACAATGGACAGACTTCATTCATAAGAAGATTGTTACCACTTCCATCTTTTCCATCTTTTTTTCTTTTCTCTTAAAAAATTTTTTTATTGAATTTTTGTGTATTTCATATATAAAATCATCCTTATAATCCCTTCCCCTTTAGCACCCTCCCATAGGCCCCCCCCCCCCCACTGGAGTTCATATATTGTCATTTGTGTTAAGGACTGTCTTAGAGTCTCCAGATGTCCCTGAGTGCAAGTTCATCCACTGGGATCTAGTCAGCCTATCTAGAATCCCTCCCTTTAAGAAGATCAGCTCTTCCTCTCCCAGCAGTAATGAACTGCCTATAATTCTTCGACTAAGATTGGGGCCTGCTGTTCATTTCTACAGTTCTGTGCTGGGTTTTTATCTGCCTAAGTTTACATGGTTCTTATGAATGCTGACACCATTGCTATAGGTTTGTACGAGAAGGGTCCCAGACGCCTATAGGACTATTTCCATATGGTGATGCACCACCTCCCTGGCTCTTACAGTCTTTCTGCCCCCTCTTCCACAATGGTCCCTGAGTCCTGGGTGGGTGAATTTAAGTATAGGATTCCTGTTCGAGGACCCATACTCTGCAGACTCTTACTCTGCGTGTTGGCCATTTGTGACCTTTTGCATTCCTGTCCCTCTGTTGCATGAAGGAGCTTCATTGATGAGAACTTAAAGATGCATTAGTATCCTCTTTGTCCCTTGTTCTATGTTCTGTGAGCCTTAGGTATAGAGGTTGCATCCCAGTTGTGCTGCTTAGGCTTGAGCAATTCACAGACAATCTGTGTGTGTAACCAGTTGTGGAACTCTGTAATTATCTCTGTCTCTTGAAAAAGAGGCTTCTTTGATGGGTGGTGACTGGGATACTTGTCTATAAATGTAAGGATCTATATTTTGCACATAGTAAGAAATTAAATTTCTCTAGGAATATGACAGCCTTGGATTCTCTAAGACCTATGACCTCTCCAGCTATGTGTGTTTGGCCACACATGAGTTTCTTCCCATTGAGTTGGCTTTAAGTCCAATTAGGTAGCTGTTGATTACCCCCAAGATAAAAGTGCCACTACTGCACCAGTGTCATTTGCTGTACTGGTCATTGATGTGGTTTTTAGGCCTTAAAGTTCAAGTTGGACCATTGATTGATGTTCTTCCTTAGCAGCTTGCATAGTGCTCTCCAAAGCTATGAGAGAGAGCCTTCCAGGTCACTTCCAGGTCCATTGCTCAAATCCTATGTCCAAAGTATGTCCTGTCTTCAGCAAAAGGGTCTTACCATCAAGTTCTGAGAGGCAATCAAGGACTGTAGCAATAGCCTGTGTAATTTTGGGAGTCTCTTGGACTACCCTGGCGAGCAACTCGAAGGTTTCTCCTGTCTGGCATTGTTTATTGTTAGGTAGTCTTCAGCTATACTCACGGACTCAGTAGAGATACTGTATGTCTCATTTTTCAGTAGGGTTTTGGACTAATATGATTTCTTTTTTTTATACTAACTTTGCATTATTTCTCTCCTTTCTTTGTCTTATCTTCCTTCCCCAACCTCCCCATTTAAAGTGACTCCATTTCTCTCTTGATAATTTCTGTCTGCTATGGTCCCACCTCCCTTGAGCTCCTTGTTCCCCTTTATTCCCATAGCTCTTTGTACAGCCCTCCTTCTCCCCCTCCCCTTTACCCCGTTTTACACATTTCTCCCTTAGTAACACCTGTCTCCTACTGTTCTTTCTTGGGTCCCTTCTTTCCCTTTACCTCCCTGGTTCCCTTCCATTTTCCTGGTTCCTGCATTGCATCAGGATATGCACTCACAAGGATTTGGTGCTAGGATCCACAAATGAGGGAGAACATACGTTGTTTGTTTTTCTGAGTTTGTGTTACTTCACTTAGTATAACAGTTTCTAGTTCCATCCATTTACCTGCAAATTTCATGATTTCATCTTTCTTTACTGCTGAGTCAAACTCCATTGTGTAAATATACCACATTTTTGTTAACCACTTGTCAGTTGAGGGGCACTTAGGTTGCTTCCATCTCTTAGCTATTGTGAAAAGAGCAGCAACAGACATGATTGTATGAGTATCTCTGCAATAGGATGAGTCCTTTGGGTATATGACAAGGAGTACCACTTCCATTTTATGAGTTCCATAAGCTCGTGGCATTGTTAGCTGCTACAGAGTGTCACTTAACTTGTAAGTACATTGCTTTTCCCATAGGCCAGGTCTCTTCTGGTTTGTGAATATTTGATATGCATGGAAAACCTGTTCAGTAAGTAGCATGTCAGTTAAGGTTTAGATTTGGACTCTAACATACTCTTACATTAGCAGGGATGTTTGTCCCCTCCCTGTAATAAACTCAACTTCAAGCGGGATTTCTATAGTACATTAATTAGCTCTGGATTATAAACTTATTCTTTGTTGAGGAATCCAGTACCATAAGAATTTTGAATAGATCTGTTTACTTCTTAAAATGGATGTTTTCTGATTTATGATACATTTAGCAATGCTAAACATAATAATTGCATAAACTGATGTTGAAAAG